ATAACTTCCTCATACGAAGTCAGATTTTTACGTTCTTTTTTATGAATGTTCTCGGTTTAATATATTCTACAACTTTCATTTAGATTGTTAAGGCTATAAAGCCTTTTATCGAAAATTCACTTTTTACACTGAACACTATTTTGCCGGTTTTGTCGCGGATTTTCGATTGATCGTAACTTCTTCGTTATAACTCGGATTTCAGTGTTCTTTATATTTTTGGAAACCTTGTTACAATCTCTACCACTTGGTTCATCCCAATTACGATTATTGATCAATTTATTTTTGACCTAAATTTGACTGGTGTCACATACTTCAACTCCCGAAATTCAATTTTTTCCCAAAAACTTGAATTTCCCCCCACCATCTAGGTTTACATATCCAAAAAGAGAAAAATAAACATTTTTTTATCCATGACAAGGCGTTTATTGAAACGAGAAGCATTGACATTCTCAATTGATTGAGTCTTGGTTAAAAGGCCCAAAGCCAATACAGTGCGCCAAAGAGGAACTGAGGAAGCGGGAGCATGATTACTAGCGTCAGGTACGTTAAAAAATCCATATTTCCAAGGGTCATCACCGATTTCCATGGAGACTTCAAATGCATCGCTTCCACCTCTCTAGACCCCAACAACAATTTCATGTATTCTTCTCTTTTTATGCGATTTATGATTCTTTCTTCTTTATTTTCTGATATCTGAATCTTATTACTCCATGAAAGTTGAAAACATTGTCGCCTTAACCCTGGCACCAATTTCATTCAACTTCTTCATTATTCTTTCTAAAATTCAATAATACACCAGATGAGATTCTCAAATTTATTCTGAATCTGTGTATGTTTCGTTCTGAAAGACTAATTTATGAATCATAAATAGTAAATCTACTTCTTGTCAATGTCGAAGTCACGAATGTCGGCTTACTGGACTATGATATGTAGAAAGACCAGTTGGTGGCCCCTAGAAAATGCATGAAAGACCTGGAGGTGGCTTCCGGAAATTTTTATGCAAGACTAGGGTCTGGACCCTGACAGTTATATGTAGGATGCTAGTTGTCTTTGTGATACTTGCAGGGAGGTCGCTCTTGACACTTGTTTGTAAGACCCGGGTTTTGGCCCTCGACTTGCAATCAAATACCATGATACAGATCATGCCATAATGGAAATTATTAGACTATGGTTAACATATAACAATCTTTATTCTATGTGTGGTATGTGGTGTTTTGGGGAGCCCATTAAGCTTTCTGTTTATGGTTTTATGGTTATGGTTTCAGGTACTTCCGATTCTAAAGGGAAGAGCTCGACGTGACTACACAGCATCCCCCAGAGTTTCTACTTTGAATACTTACAATTTTTACTCTGATGATTTAAATGATGTAATCATTTTGATTGGTTTTGGAACAACTCATTTGTAAGGTTTATTGTTTTAAAAATGGCAATTTTAACTGATTTTTTGGGACGTTACATGGTTATTGAATGCATCCAATAAACCATGTTATATTTTTATTTAAAATCGCATTTTAACAATATTCTTTTATAAAATCCAAATTTTATATAATCGACGCGATCGAATTTTGAAGTTAATAACTACTTATGAATCTTGGTCACAATGCAATTATAATTCATAATTATATTTAACTATTTTAAAGTTTGCATCATGATGCGGGTCCAGTTCTCAGACAAGTAACTATGAATCTTGGTCACAACCACTTGCCTGCTTTCATTTAATGAGAGTCAATCAATCCAATTCATATCAGTATTAATTCATAATTGCTCCCAAAATTATGACCAACTATGAAATTTTAGCATAATAAGATTAATCATTGATTAAACATATTAATATCGAACACAACAAATATTAATGTTATGATCACATCCCAATATATCAAAATGTAAGTCCCGAATTCGCTTGATATATCAATCAGATCCGATTGATGGTGTGGAATCTCAATCAATCGGATGTTGTCAGATCAAAATAGAGAAGAAGGAGAAGAAGAATAATATGAATCTTGAATATATTGATGATATGAATGAAGTTCCTTACACAATATTCACTTTCTCTCTCTAGAACACACATTGAGTTTCATACACTTAAGCTCCTTTCTCTCTCTCTCTCTCTCTCTCTCTCTCTCTCTCTCTCTCTCTCTCTCTCTCTCTTTACATCTATTTATATGATGAACATGGGCCGTGAACAGGTTCACGGCCGTGAACCAGTTTACGGTCGTAAACACCCATTGGGCCGTAAACACTTTTCGGTCCTAGACGGAAAATTACAATTGCCTAGAAAAGCAAAGTATAAACCATATTTTTAGACCCAACAATCTCCCCCTTGGTTTATAGCTTTCTTTTCTTTGACCCAACAAGCTCCCCCTAAAATATAGCTGGCTTTTCTTGTCAATCTTCATTTGGAGCTTGGCTTCAGCTTTTTGTCTTCAATTTCTTTACGACTTCAAGATGAACTTAATGAATCTTCAATAAAGGACTTCATCTTGAGCAGTTGGGCATTTCTTCAAGATTTGACTTTGAACGCATGTTGGGTGTGGAGGCATCATGTAGAGATTCTTGAAAAATGGTGCTTTCAGCTTGAGAATCTTCAGAGATAACAACAGAGAGAGCAAATCTTCTGGATCACTTCAGCAGGTTCAAAGATAGCAGCAAATTGATTGACGAGGCTTCAATGCAATCTGTCACATAATCTTCAAGTACAGCTTCACCTTGCTTCTGGGGTTGAAAGATTGAATGTTGAAAGAATAATATTCATTTCTTGTTCCTTCGAATGAATATTCTTCGATGATCACGGATGAAGCCATGGCTCAAATATTCTCGATACAGTCTCCATGAGTGTCATCTAAAACTGAATTCACTTTTCAAAACAAAGAAAAATTTGAGATAAAAACAAACTCAGCACACAATATTTTTGGATTTTTTTCATATTTTCTGGAAAAAATAAAATAGAAACAAAAATATTTTTGGATTTTTGGATTTTTCTGAAAAAATAAAACAGAAATAACACTATTTTTGGATTTTTGGTTTTCTGATTTTTGTTTGGTTTTAAAATTTTTTAATTCTCCCCCTAAACTTGTGCATAGAGGAAAACTATGAACAAATTTAATAAAAACAAAAATATTTGGGATCAAAGTTGTCAAGCAATTCAATATCGTTTATCAGCACACGTCTACATGTTTAGATCTGGTCAATCACCGGTATTGTGATCCACTTAAACACAAAGGATGTTGACAAATTGGACATGTTATAAGTGACAAGACAGTGACATGTTCGAATGTGACGTACTCCATTGAAAGTAATACAATCTCGAGGATATAATTATGTGCGTCGAATGTCTACGAAATGTCATTTAATATTTTGATTTTTTTAATTTTTTATTTATATAAAAATTAATAAAAATGAACTTAGTTGTCACTTTTTTTTAACCTTTTGATTTTTTTATTTATTTTTAATTTTTTTATACTTTTTTTTAACTAAATACAGGTTTGAGTTATTTTTCTTTTTTTTAATGTTTAACAATTATAAAGTTTTCAAATCATAAGATACTAAGCATAATAATATTTTTTTTAACATAATATTTTTGGATCTTTTCATTTTTGATCATAAAAGTTTGGATCATATCATTTTAAATCATAGTAATTTTGATCATTTTATTTTTGAATAATATCACTTTGTATCGTAATCTATTAAATTAAAACAAGTTTTTGTTGATAACAAATTTTAGCTTATTATATTTTTTGAATCATTTAATTATTGATTACAAAAAATATTGGTTAGGTTGTTGTACCCTGGGAACAAACGGCAAATATGTTTAAGGGAATCTTGTCAAACACGAGCCTTAGTCACTCGATATTATTATTTACTACTACCTTAAACGAAGATACAAGACAGATGAGAGATCCTTGAGAGTTGATCCCTTCGCCCATGCAGTTAACTAGTCGACATAGTGATAGTGAGAAATATAAAGACATATAGATAAAAAAGATATAATTCAATAATTAGTAATCGATATTCTTGAGTTATACATTCAATTTGGGGATAACATCATGCACATCTTTTTTGACTTTAAGCAATCCAAATTATAGATTTGAAAATCGTTGCAGCGTCTCAAGCGTGTCTGATTATCAACTAAATCCTATAAAGGGTCAAAGATCTCATCGTCTTCTATGCATTGTTGATTTTTCGTTTTACCGCCTTGAATTTAGGTTGCCGCAAAGCATCTCTGACCATTCCATTCTCAAAGATATCCTCGTCTTCTAGTATGGTCTTCTAGTACGCCATGGCATGGGTCGGTCCTGATAATAGCCAACTTTTTAATATGTACTTTGCTTTTTTAATGGTTGTAATAATTAGTTTATTTTGTTGTTCATGTTATCGTTATTTATTTATTTTGTAATTAAAGTTCATTCAAAATTAAGGTTCATGTTTTTTAATGGTTAATTACTTTATTTGTAACTATATATCTTTCAAAATTTGCGAGACCATGCTACTTGGGTCATGGTACAAGTATCACCCGACCATTTTATAGAAAATTTGGCCCATATTCCGTCTATGTTGAATCCTAAATATTACACTCATATCTCAACAATGAAACAACAATTTATTTGGTTTTCTCTAACTAAAGGTTGATCACAATATTACATGCTATATTTTAATTATCATTCTCATAGTAACAAGAAATTAATGTTATTCTCTTATGAATTCCTGAATAATAGAAGGAATCCTAATTAACCAAAAAAAACTATTTTACTTTAGTTAAAAAATTGAAGAATTCATATGTTACTATTTTGATACTTTTATTTACCTCTAACCATTAGATAAGGAATATAAAACAATAGTTAGATCTTATAGTGTATGAAATTCACTAGCTATATCCTTGTGTGGGACTACATTACATTGATTCTTCAAAATCAAAAGAAACGGTATTCAAGATTCATTTATCTGCATCATCAAGAGGCCATATATTTGCATTGTAATTACGATATGGCTGTGGGATAGGGTGATCAGAGCAGTATCTTCGTGACGTACGAGTCCACCATGTAATGATTCGAACCAGTTTGCACATTGAGTTGGGTTTTCGGATCTTCAGCATCATCATCTTGAGACACCCCCATACATTGTTTTATATAACTGTCCATACTCTCCGAGCTCCATTCAACTTCAACAGGAGCGGATATTGTTGTCTCGCAACTATCACGAAAATGAGAATCTTCAGCATCATGATTTGATAGGAACACGACGCCAAGTATGATAATGCAACGGTACCTTTGATCCCACCAAATTTGAGATCAGTCTGACAAACATTTGCCCGTTGTCCCCCACAAATCGGTACGTCTGCCCGGAGATATCAATTCGCAAATCCAAAGGATTACACTTGTTGTTTTCATACTCTTCGTACAAATTTAAGTTTCTCCCTTTGCCACATATATATATACCAAACAAACAACACAATTATATAATCAAAAGAGGATCAATTTCAATTTCAACACAATTCTATATATACATATAATTTCAATTTCAATAAAAATTAGAAAAAAAAAAAAAAAACTAACCTGTGTTTTGTTCTTGTGTGATGAACGAATTTTGGCTAGTCAAAGAAGCTGGTAATCCTCCGGTGGTGGCTGGTGGTGGCCACAGGCGGCAATATAAAATCAGAAAAAAAAAAGCAATATGAACGAAATAGGGGTAGAAAACGGACTAGTGAACAACTCCCTTGGTGGCTAGAACGAGGTCGTCGGCGAACAACTCGCCGGTGGGAAGGTTGAGGCAGGAAAACGGGCGGTGGTGCTTCACCACCGGTTAACTACCCTACACACCAAAAAACCACAAATTTGTGGTAAAAATCATTACCAAACAACAATAAAAAACGAAATAGGTGTAGAAACAACCTTGGATAGGGTTAATCGCCGGTGATTTGAGTTAGGATGCAATTTTCGTCACAGGAGGAAGAAAGAACAGTCGCTGTGTGCAAATGAAGGACGCCTGCATATCTTTTTTAGGGTAAACCCCTATGCCGACGACATGTCGTCGGTATAGGGTCCACATAAACGACGACGTTGCGTTTTTTGCTGAAATAAATATATATATATATATAGATATATATAGATATATATATATATATATATATATATATATATATATATATATATTATATATATATATATATTATATATATATATATATATATATATATATATAATTAAAAAAACCTGTGCCGACGACTTGTCGTCGCGATAGCCTTCCCCAAAACTACGTCGTTCTGTTTTTCTGGCAGATGGAATAAAAATAAATGGAAAATAGATTTTTTGATACCTATACCGACGACATGTGAACATTTTTGTCGTTCCCGCCAGACTTGTGGCGACGACTTGTCGTCGGCACAGATATCGCGGTCAAAGGAAATTGGTCAAAGGTTCCAAAAGATATGGCGACGACATGTCGTCGGGATCGGGTGACCTGTAGCGACGACTCTTGTCGTCGGGATAGATGTTGTCGGCATAGCTTAGTATTCTTGTAGTGTCAGTATCATCTTGAGGCACCTCCATGGATTGTTCTATAAAACTGTCCAGACTCTCCGAGCTCAATTCACCTTCAACAGGAGCGAATATCTTCGTTACCTCGTAACCATGATCAGGAAAATGAAAATCGTCTGCAGCATCATTACCTTGAGCGGATTGATCCCAAACATTTTGCACGTCGAGTATGGTTGGCGCATCTTCATAAGAACTTTGAACGAAGACCAGTGGGTAGCCATTGCAATCAAGTGGTTCCATAGAAGAAGAATTCAAAGCACCATTTGAAAACAGAAAATCGTCGCATGCATTAGTCGATGAAAGCCTATTCTTGTGATAACATGACTCCCTTATTTGCACTGGTTGTATTGAATTCAAACCATGCTCACTAATAGGCGTTTTGTAGGCACCGTCATCTAGTGGTTGTGAGGAGGAAGCAGCTGGTCCAATATTAGAAACATAATTTGAAGCACTATGATCATAAATCTGACAACCGTTGCTTGCATTCGAAGTAAACTGATTCTGATAGCACGGTGGTGGTGCTTGTATCAAATAACTCCAACCTTGAAAGGTAGTAATCAGTTGCATTGGAATCGGATAGGGGCTGGAGTTCATTCTGATTTGGCCAACGGTGTTGCCATTGTTAACCTGTCCTCTCCTATCAAACTGATCGTGGGCAGCTGCCACCATCTGATCAACACAGGTATCTGAATAGATATTAGTTTCTTGAACGTCAACTTGTTGGGGTTGGTGATTTGAAAAGCTGATTTCATTATTTTCTAATACTCTTCGTCTCTTGGGCAAAGATATGTTGGGTTCTTCCATCACCTCCTTTGGATTCCTAACTTCTTGATCCGCCTCACGATCTCTTTTAGCAGTTCGTACCTTCTTGTAAATCTTGCACAGCACCCACTCGTTCAACTACGTACAAGAAGACCAGATATTACTTAAGCGTACAACATTGAGGATTATAGCAATCTTACTTATAATTTATGTAATAATAACAACAGTATTTCTGACAATTAATTTCTACATACCTTGTCTCCGTTTTCAAAAGAAAGATTATTGGGTCCGTTGGTTGTATATTCATGCATTAGCCACATAGTTTTGTCATCATTCTGATCAAAAAACGCAAGAGTTCCCTTGTAGCCAACCATTTCTCCAGACGTGGCATCATACACCGGCTTTTGTATTTGAGTAGTCTTCCAGTACCCATGTTTTCCGAGTACACCTCTGTTAGGTCGATTACCTCTTGGGTACTTTCGATCCCGAGAAGTCAGAAAATACCATTTATTCTCGTGGGACCGATATGTTTCTGCATGCAACCAATTAAAACACATGATATGATATATATATATATATATATATATATATATATATTAGCATCAAATCATTCAAGAAAGAAAGCATCATTCAAGATTAATGTATCTTTACGTACTAAACACAAGTATTAACTACTTAGAATCAGAACTAACTCAAGAAAGAAACCATTATTATTCATTCAACAAGACTCATGCATGTATCCTTTATTAATTAGTTGATAACTAACCTGCGAGTTCTTCCGGCATGTGGTTGTAAATGTTGACCTCGTGTAACCGGCACTTGGGGGGCTCTCTTGATTCGATCTTGGCATTCAGGCAGTCTACGATGAGCTCTGAATCCGTGGGACAGAATCGATAGTAGGAGGGAAGCTGATCAGCAAAATCCATGGCAACTTGCTTACCTCGGTTACAATATGGCATGATTTCTTGGTCGACGACCATTGAATTTTTTGAGATCGATGGAATTGAGCACAAGTACTAGTGTCAAACTCAGAATGAAGTCGATGAGTATGAGTAGTGGGCAAGTCTATTTATATAATGGTGTCAAGGGGAAAAAAAAAGGAAAGGTATATCCTCTGTTGATTGACCCGAAAGGTTCGCTATTTGAATGAAATCTAATGGGGATTTCGGTTTATTCAGTTAAACTTGCCTATTTTTTGGATAGGGTTTTGCAAAAAAATAAAAAATAATAAAATAATAATAAAAAATTAAATAAATAAATATTTAATCAGTCTAACTTTCTTTATTTTTGAAATTCAATCTATGTTAAAGTTTATCATATTTTGCAGAATATGTAAAAAGATTAAAGATATAGAAAATTACCATTATAGTTTTTTATTTCCAATGTTTTCCACAAATTAATAGCCAAGAAATGAAAAAGAACAAAAATAGCAATAAGTCTCACACATAATACACGTCATTTATAATTGTGTTCTTCAATTCAACTTCTACTTTCAACTTCACACTTCGTTGACCTATTCGGGATACTATTTCCTAATCGTATAGTATGTGAAAACAATTCATTCAATCGGTTCGGTTTATGGTTTCTTCGGTTTCATCGAATCGGTTTTCTCGGTTTTCAATTTTTTTGGTCGAATTCGAAAACCGAACCAAATCGAATTCAAATTATCTTGATCAAACCGAAATTCAAATTCTAATTCGGTTTGGTTCGGTTTGAAAATCGAGGAAACCAAATATTACCTTAAAAAATAATTAGTGTTGCAATTTTCCAAACATAAATTACAATGCTTTTAACATAGAAAACTAAAGTTGCAAACATTAAGATCTAAAGTTTCATACAAAAAGATCCAAAGTTTCATATGTAAAATGATAAAATGGTACTAGTACTAGCTAGAAACATAAAGTTTAAACTGATCAAGGATTTGTTCTCTCCTACGAACAATTTTTTGGTAAAATCTCGTCTAATAACTAATAATCAGTTAAGTTTCTATTACAATATGGAACAAAAAGGACAATATAGAGGATGTGTGGAAAGAGTTGTGATACCTGTCTCGATCCAGGGAAAATACAGGATCTAAAGTAGTATCCCAATCCTAAGGATCCATAGGATTAATTGTGGATCCAACCAACACAAAAATAGAAAGATTTGAGTTGTTTAGTCTTCGAGTTTTTAGTTGAAATTTTTCAGTTAAACCCTACATTGGTAAAATAGTAAATAGGCTAAAATGATATTTACTTTATAATTAGTATTTTTATATAATATACAAATATATCATATATTTTTAAATTAATTAATTTATTAAATTCAATTTTTTCGGTTTGGTTTGGTTTAAACTTCATGAGACCGAAACTCGAACCAAAAACCAAGTTCACTATTCGGTTTGATCTCGGACCAAACCAAAAACCGAATTCGAATATGGTTTGTTCTGAAATCGATTTCGATTCGATATGGTTTTCAGGTTTTCCGATTCCGGAAAACCCGAAAACCAGATCGAATCGAAATCGATTTTATACCAAAGGAATTGCCATGCTAGATGATATGAAGCTTTAGATAACTTAGATCAACTTGTAGAATGCTACATTGAGTGCTTATAAGGTGAGTAATGGAAGTAAGACTAGTGTATGGACGGTCTAAAGCAATGGATCAAAACCTCCTAGGTGGTGAATTCAATGTCGGTTTTGTATGATGTGGGTATAATAGTATAGGGTCGGTACAATTATAAACACATGATACATGTGCGAACTTGGTAGAAGCATGAAAGGGTTTTGTGAAATATGGTAAGGATTCGGGTGAGTTGGGGTCTTAATGAACGTGTGCCTTGTATTAAATAAGAGTCATGAAGGAATTTAATACATGTTAATGGATAATCAAAAATTTTGACAGCTTTGACTTTTCTGTCAAAGTCAAACATCTAGTATGAAAATGAGGAATTATTTGGGATACAATTGATATATGGTTGAAATTGAGTTTATACCCTTTTAGTATCATTGGTAATGAGTTAGAAATGCCAAGGGATGATTTGAATTGAGCTATTTAAATTGTTAACAAACATTTAGCTCAAAAGGGGCATGGTTGACTTTTCGAAAAAGTCTAAGATATGATAAGAACTGGAACGCCAAAGTCATGATTAAGAAATTTAGTTGGAGTTGGTAATTGGGGACGAGCTTATCTTACAACATAATGGTGATAACTTCAAGTTACAAGTAAGTTGATTGAGAAAGGAAAGAATGGAATCATAAATTTCATCCTTAGATGAAAGATAATGATTTGATGTGATTGTTGACACGAGAACGCAAGCCAATGGCTAAGTTGGCAAAAGGGTGATATGATGACGAAAACGAAATGGTGCAAGAAAGTGCGACCGAGAGGGCATGGGAAGGAGATCGATACTGTCGACAAAATAATATCTTTTGGGATCCTAAGGAGTTGGCGACTAGATGACAACATTATCAAGTGTCAAATGTGATGGTAGATGTGGAAGAAAGATGTCATTGTGACACAAGGACACTAGTAAAAGACAATAGATGGTGTATTTACCTAATGCACCGGGCTGGAAAGTGAAGTCATCACAGGGAAATAAGAATACTGAAAGACATATGAAGGTATTTCTCAAGCCTGAAAGAAAGATAACCAATATGAATACCATCTCGAAGCATGAACATAATGGAAACTAAAAGTGACAATGATAAGTCCACGAGAGTACCTTACAGTAGGGTAGTAGACTATCTTGATGAACAGTTTAATGGGAGGAACTTTGTAATCTCTTCTTACAAGTTCTGCGATTTGTGATAAAAAGTTAAGTTTTTGCAGAGAACATGATGAGGGTGACATAAGAAATAAGACTCTAAGGTGTGATAGCTTGATGATGAAGGAGCAGTATCTGGAAGGTGTTATGTGATCGATAAAGTAGGAAGATGATTTCACATGATGGAATATAAAAGAATGCAAGTTGAACATCACGGATTTGATAGTACTAACAATGTATGGACAAGAATAAACACATGAAGTTTTTTGAAAAAGGATTGTCAAGAAGATGATAATAAGTAGAGAATTTTTTTTGAAATTTCCATGAATGTCAATGACATGAGTTGCTACTATGTATGAATTATCGGGTGATTTGGACCTTAAAAGAAATGTCGTCATTTCTTTTAAGGGATAGATGGTAAGAAGGATACGAAAGTGTGATGATGTGATGTTACAAGAGCTCATAGTACTCGGGGTGAGTAATAACAACATGTGGTGCTTGGAATTATGGGTGACAAATGAACCAAGGATACAATATATAGAGCTTCCAAGTTCTGCAAACTGATAACACGGACCGGACACACTCAAGTACAATTTAAGTACTAATTTTGTGTATTACTACTAATCTTGATTTGACAAACAAACAGAGAATGGAAAAAACTTGTGACAATGGGATCTTCTATTATGAATTCATATAGGAGATAAAACTTTGACTCATATCATTATAGCACGTGACAGTGACTGAAGGATGCAAAAATCTATTGATATAAAATTTAGTTGTGTAATCACACGTAAGGGACAAGAAATAGAAAGGAGTAAAGTATGATGATACTTGAGAAGCTAAGCTGACGAAGTGTAGAATGGAAGAGTCAAGTACTCGAGGAGCAAAATTTAAAAGACACATGAACGATGAAATTATGAGAGGAGCCAAATGCGATCAATAGTGAAACGCAAAATATGGAATTTGGGGTCCATAAGGAGTAAATGTGAGGCAACAGTTCTTGTGAGGGGATAAAGAAACACCTTTCTATATGATGAGGATAATCTTGTGATTTACACCTTAAAAGAAATGCATTCATTTCTTTTAAGGGGTAGATAGTTGGGAAGAATTAAGTTACAAGCAACGAGATCATTCTGACCCAACCATATTTTGAAAGTTGACTTGAAGCAGTTCAATGTGATTTAGATCTTCTAGTAATTTTATATTTAGGCTTGCAGGCATAAGAAATGTGTTAACTCATGAAATGAGACTTTGGGTTTGACACAATAGTTAAAGTGAATGAAAGATGATATGGACAACGTGGGAAACCGGCATGAACTTGGATGGTATGGTATTTGTTGGTACAAAAGTATAAGCTTCATAATGATATCTATGACTGGGTTATCTTGTAGATAACATGGAAGGAAAGCATCGTTAGTATGAAATCCATCAACGGGTTAACTGCGATTATAGAAATAGAAATGAAACCATATGTGTGCCATAGTGTGTTTTGGCATGTATTTGATATAAGATGTTAGTGTGTAGAACTTTAAAATCTTGTTTAGAGAGGCATTCAGGACAAGTTGAAGGTAATATGTTAAGTTTGAGACTTTAATGTCAGAGAAGTCAGAAAGGACAAGATGAAAAGATATTTCGAAAAAGCTAAGCTTTGGTAACGATTTACTAATGGAATTAGTAGAGAACGGAATATTGGTGAGATGCTTCAGCACGAAGCGACATGTTTAGGCAAATTGGTACCTAGGTAAAGAAATAGACAAATGTTGGCATAAGGTTGGATAACCTTATTGCATGATGTTGTTAAAAGTTCAAAAAGGGGATAAAAGGGGTAAAAGTGTCCAAGAGGGTTAATATCCTTAATATTTCTATTATTGATTATGATGTTGATTACAATTGTAACAAATGATCTAAGTGATGTCACCATCAAGAAATTGAAAGTGATTGGATGAAATTCTAATGAGATGGCCCACAAAGTAATTCCGAGGACGAAATCCTTTTAAATGGTAGATAATTGTAACATCCTAAAAATTTAAGGCTATGTTCTTAAATTATTAAATTAGTAAATGAAAAAAAAATGATTTATATAAATAAATCATCAAGGAATAATCTATCATTAGTTGTATGAAATTTAGAAAGTTAGAAGTGGAAATAGAAAAACTTCAAAAATTAAGTGACCAAAAGTGCCAATTTGGCAAAGTATGTTTGATAAAGGGTTGA